ACTGCACACGTTTAAAAATATACGAGAGGCCATGTGAGCCATAAATCGAGTGACGGTGACATTAAGGGACCATAGAGTTTTTCGTTTATTACCGATCTTCAAACACGTCAAGGGAAAAAACACCAATAAGTGTAACATGTATTAAAACTCAGTACCCAACAATGAGTCAGTGAGTTTAGTTTATCGCCTCTTTGGTCAGTAAGTCAGTTATATCACAAGGGGTTTGTGGAAAAGCCCAAAGTGACGCATGTCTTAGTGACGGGTGCCACCAGTAGGGCTAACACTAACCTTTTCGCGAACACCTGATAACATCACTATTTGAAAGTGATCCAGAAACACGATTTTTCTGATTCTGCCTCGCCCTCTTGTGGGAATGGGGGCGGTCGGGTAGCCTGGTGGTTAAAGCGTTCGCTCGTCACGCCGAAGTCCCGGTGTAAGCTGCCAAAATCTACCCCCCTTCAGAGTATACCCGGGTAGATTCTGTGAGCTCCCAGAATCTAGCCCGGGGTATATTTTGTCGACTTCCAAGAATCTAACCCCCTTTCCCAGAATCTACACCCCCACCCCCACCCCACCCCCCACCCACCCCCACCCCCCAGCCCCCCAAAGGGGGTGTGATCTAGGAGTTCCCAGAATCTACCCCAGTGTAGATACTAATAAATTGTTAACGAATAAAAAAATTCAGAATGTTGTTTTATACATGCAAAGAAAAAATGAACATTGTTAAAATTAATAAAAAATATCTTACAAATCACATTGACTTTAACTCATTGTAGTCATCATCAATTTGTTCAAGTTCAAAAGTTGGAGTTAAGAATTGTGTGAGGAAATGTCTTAGACTCATGTTATTGAATAAGCTTTACTATGCTTTGTGAATAGACCTACTAATTTAGTATTTTAACTTTATAATCATTTTGAAACCTATTATAAGTATGCATTATTTTTTGTGTCTGCAAGTACCTTTGTTTAGGGAGGCATGTATCACAGTATCCAGAATATATTCTGACTATAGAAGACATCACATCCTTCAAAGCATCTAATTATTTGTCCATTTACATTCTAATTCTTCTAAATATAGTCAGATGGGTGTCATTGTCTTAGTCAGAGTTTATACATTATTACCAATCCCTTATGGGATTGAGGGAGTCACAGTATATACAGTGTGGGACTGATTTCTGATATAGGTCTTAATGGTTTTTGATGAACAGGTCATATGAACTGAATAAGTTATCTATATATAAAGGTGTTAAAGGCATCAACGGTTACAATCTAAGCGTAACTGGCCTTAAACTGGTTTTGGAATAAAAGGCATAAAAGATCTAGATTAGTCCATACTGAGTGAGTGAGTGAGTGAGTGTGGTTTTTCGCCGCTTTTAGCAATATTCTATCAATATCACGACAGGAGACACCATAAAAGTTTTCACATATTTTACCCATGAGGTGGAAAAATGAAACAGTATAAGGTGGATTAACGAAAAAAAATAACATTCTACAATGAAGAACCCTAGAGCAACTGCCTGGCCTAACGTAGATTCGAAAACCGCTGGAGGAACTATTAGTATGTAGGGTTCCTCATTGTAGAATTTTATGCTTTTCTTTAATCCACCTTATACGATCTCAAGTCAAGTTTGTTACCTACTCCTGCACGTCGTCAACATGCGACCTTAAAGGGGCACTGATCTAACGCAATTACCCGGACTGGTTGTTGCCTTTGTTATTGTTTTTTTCCCCGTGAGTACCCGGATGATACGCAACGCAACTGAGCGTGACCAGAGACTGGGCTACCGTCTGCAAGGACAGCTAAATAAACTTGGAGGCTTGAGGCAATATTTGTTTTACGCATTTTTGCATAAACTCTGATTGGTTAACTGTGATCTATAAAGATTTCGACAAAGGGCGCATGTTAATTAATTTCTTCAACAAACAGACAAAAAGAACGGCGGAGCTCATCGGATGTCGTCATTTGGAAATACCCCAGATGGTTATAGTTTAATACTAAAAAAAGTGCAGTGAAAGCATTTTCGGTTTTCGGCGATAATACGATTACTACTCCCTTGTTGTCATCCACGTTTTCTCGTATAACCCTATACTTGTGTATTTGTCGTCATTCACTTGATGCTCAGTTAATGAATTTATTACTGGTACAATTAGTGGTAGCACCACTTAGATTACCTGACAAAGGTTCCCATTTGGCATTTATTGTGTCTGGGGTAATTATTCAATCTAAATCCAAGTTTGAAGTGAGGTGAAATTTGTGTTATGTAATATGCACGTGGCAGCCCAGCAAGAGATGAATGATCAGTTGTTTTACTCTTTTTTTGTAAATCAACGGATCGTTCCTAGTCATCAAAGGATTAACAGAAAATACGTTGATTGATTAATCACTGTTATCTTGCACAGTGGATATGTCAAAAGTGAGTGTTTACATATCTAGGTTTACTAAAACAAAGGGAATACACTCATATCATGGCGTGAAGTGCCGATGTAAAAAAACATACTTTGTTCAAAGGGTTAACTGATAATACGTTGATTGATTGATCATTATTATCTATCACTCAATGGATTTTTTAGGAACCGTGGACGTTATGAAAATAGTTGTCACTTGGGCTTTCTCAGCTGACCCTTGAGACTTGACACCTATGTGAAACACCTGAAACAATCCAAGTGATCAGTTGAGAAACGAACACGGGTTATAATATCCCGAAACGATATATATCTCTTAAAATATTTGTTTGTTACAGAGACACGTGACATCGAATAAGTTTCTTTGTACAGCTGCAGACGAGTGGGATATTGTTCCTTTGTGTGGATATTCACGGATACATTCCTCGAACAAGGAAGCTGCCTAAAACGTATACACATAAATTTGGTAAGTTGTAATTATGGTATTTGCATTTTGTTTTCCTTCATTTGAACCGATTCGTTCTTGTTTCTCTACGTCTTGGTTGGGAAATTCTTCAATGTGCGATAGGCGTTGTTTTCACAGGTCTTCTCTTTGTAAGCGTGTATATATTACCAGTCAGTTTGTAAAATGTGATTCTCATAGGCAATTTATAAAATGTGTAAATATTTCAGTCATTTTGACTAAAAAATCTGTCCAGATTGATTAAGACGATCAAAAGGGCCTACACACATCACAACAGATTATTATGTAGGATTAGGAGCCAAACAACATAGAAATGTACTTTTCAACATTTTCCGTCTCTTGGTGATGACATTAAACATCAAAATGTTTGGAATTCGTTATCATAATAATACAGATGGAAATGTTTTTCAGTCACTTTGTAAAATAACTGAATATTTAGACGTTTAATAAATTTGTTACACATTTTGACAGTAAAAGAATATACACACTATAAAAAAAGCAATGCTCAGGTGAAATATTTACTTAGTGTTGCAAGTCAAAATAGTGTAAACGAAATTTGCAAAATTACCAAGCAAGTGACTTATCAAAACTTCGTCACCATTACCGATGCTACCCACAAAGATACCTACATTTCCTTATTATCTCGAAAACTGTATTTCATTTTGTTGATCAATGTGACCATACGCCCTTATTACAACCGGTACCCATAAACGTGACTAATGCGCTTACGAATGGCGCAGCAGAGGTCGCGAACTAGTCTAGATTTCTGCTATACATCCGGGTACTCACTGGGAAAAAACAATAACAAAGGCAATACTGTCGTATATCTATAAGTAAATATTAATGCCTTGCCAATATTGTAAAGGAGTGATTTTTTTAAATTCTGTATTTTATACATATCTTAGCTGTAGCATTTTTGAGGCCATAACTTCTTTGGTGTCGAGGACAGTTTACAACGCACTCATACCCTGGCTCTTCCCCGTACATTTTATTATCTTGATCCAAATAAAGCTACCAGGTGTGTTCAAAGGTTGTTATATATGTGTTTGCGATTGTTTGTATAAATAATTTGTCCCAAAACGTTCTGGAAATTATTTTATGGCAAGGTTTTACGAAACTGTTTACTGCATATGCTAAACAAATGTGATATGAGTTCCATTGTTTGTTTTGTCCCATCTTGCCAGAGAAAAAAGTATGTCTTGAAGTATGAGTAAATCATAAGTCAAATGGAAACAGTGACCTAATTGGTGCTAATCTTAGTTTGCTGAAGCTATCAAAACCATTTCTGGCAGACATGTGGAGGACATTTCCATATTTGATGCCATAATGATTTCCGATTCAATTCTCTGTTTTGACATGGTAGCAAATGTTCCCATGTTCCGGCACTCAACCCAAAGAGTAGTGCCAATTTACACTTGTCAGAGGGGCACTCAAAGTACGTGATCTAGACTACCATTGGTCGGACTTTCATTTTTGTGGAAGCCACGGTGGCTGAGTGGGTTAGATCGCTGACGATTGCTGAGAGCTGGCGATTAGGTGCCTCACTCTGGCAAGTGTGGGTTCGAATCCCGGACAGGACTCAATGAAAAAAGTACGAAACTAAGAAAGTGTTATCCCAAATATAACATTTGTTACATTTGACCCCTTTCTAAATGGCATTGTGTATTCATATGTTTTTCTTAGGTGAACACTTGACTTGCTTTTCCATGTGTTTGTGACTGTGCCACTCCTTGTGGGGCAAGACACGCTCACCTTTTCGCGAACACCTGGTATCATCACTATGTGATAGTGCTTATGAAAAAGTCGGAATCATACAATAGACTTATGATTATGGAAATGTTTTTGATGCTCTTATTTACATACACAGTACTTATTTGTCACACACAATTTTTCATGATTTCCTCGTCAAGCGAATCTGTTTGTGGAGTGAACACCGGAGATATATCTGCAGTTGATAGTTTGCATTGCTAGATCTAGGCCTCCGTAGAGGTCAGGATTGAAACAGGTCCCTAGCGCTCTATTGCCTGTCGTAGGAGGCGACGGCGATGTGGTTTTTCACCAGGCAGACATTCACTCTATGCAGTGATTGGCTGAATGTCACATGATCTGTACGTGTATAAATATCGACCCCACCCTATCTATAACGTAGTTCACAAATGCAACCTTATATGAGGTTTACAGTCATTTTCAGTTCAGTGTAAACTGCAAGCTTCCAGATGTCATGTTACTATGTGAATACTGTGGGGATGAGATACTATCAAAGACACAAAGTGTAACTGTGTATCACAAAGATGAGGAAGTGTGTTATGTACCACAGGGTGGTGATATACCAGAAGCATATGAACATGTAACTGTGAACGTACATGGTGACAATGTCATATATACCAGACAGGGAAGCAACGTACCAAGAGGTTATGAATCCGTTTCTGTCTATGTCAAAGAACAAGGATTAATATATTCTAAAGCACGTACAGCACCAACTGGTTTTGTCCCTGTACTTGTTTATTCCAAGAAAGAAGGTAATGATTTCGCATCCTGCACCAATTCATCAAAACCTAAAGAGACCGTTCACACAGCGTGTCTAACGTAAGTACATCAACCATCTGATGTGAACGATGTGCACTGTTGAAACTTTGGTCTGTAATATATTGTTTGGTTATTTACATTCCGCATTTGTTTTGTTTTTCTGTTTCACGTATGAAACTCAACCAATTTGCAAAAATGTATATTAACATGTAATTGTGACGGTGTTTTGATAATAGATAAGAACTGCAAAGTATATTACTACATACCACAGTATATTCAAAGACGTTGAACACACCATCAGCCAAGTATGGTGAGTTATTATCAAAATTAATTATTATCACAATAAATTTGTTGTGAACTGAACAGAAAGATGCTAAACGCATTGTTTTGTATTTCGGTCCCGATACACTTGCTGTATACCAGGTTACCGAGTCTTTCCTTTTCAGTGAACATATTCCACGGTGTGATGAGGCAGTTTCTAATTTCATCCAGTGTTCTTCCCCTGAAAACATCTTGACTATTGGGATTCACGTTAAGTACCTGTATGGTGTAGGGCGAAAGGACGACAACAAAAAGAAGAAAAGGGAGAAAAGAGATCGTAAACTCCACCAGCTGTCGGAAAAGGTATCTGCCTTGCGCAACTCCAACTCTGGTTGTATATTGGTTCATCTTGTTGGTCTGGCACCTGGGGATTCTTTTACTGGCGCATTCGATGAGTTTGTGGATACAAAGCTTCACGACTTGATACATGATGGACAATTATTTACTGATGTTTTACCGGAAGGAAAAGCTGAGTGGCCATAGAGATCTTTGTGATTTTGATGACTTCCTAGCTCTTTATGTCACTGCTTCTTCCTTCGTCACAACATCTGACTTTAATACAAAGGTTGCACTTGATGACTGCATTGTTGACATTCCTGCAGAGGAGCTACGAACATTTTTCAGCAAAAGAGGAGAATTCGAAGGAACTTCACGCAAACTACCTACAGAAATACATACTGTAAATGACGTTGTGAGAGTACACGAGAGCAGATCAATTCAAATGAAAAGTCACTTTCTCCAAAAGAAAGGGGATCATGAAATAGTTGCTTACATTATTAAGAATCTTAACCTTACTGAGTACATAAGTGCACTGAGCAAACTTGAAAATGGTGGTTCTTACCTCTATGGTGTGAAAGAGGATTGTGTTTTTAAAAGTGAATATGGATACGAGTCCAAGGAAATCCGTCTCAAGCCTGTTTGTGTTGATGATCAAGACTATCTAAAGGATACGTTGAAGAAGAAGATTTGCGAGACTGTTCTTGTGTGTGGCTTTGATGGAAAGAAAGTGACGGATGCACATACAGTAGACATACGTTTTATCCCCTGCCCACCCAATGTTACAGAGTCGTGTTGCAGTGATGAACTTAGAAATCACAAGTCAGAAACAAAGGAACAGTACATTATTCATATTTTAGTAAAACACGTGAAGGGTGTAGTGTTTTACGATCCACAGGGTCCATTGGCTTACAAATATGATCCAACAAACAAGTCTGTCACGCGGATGAAAATCCACGAATGGTTCCATGCTTTCACAAGGGGGAAATAGACGTAGCTGATACCGAAGACAAGGAAGGAGGTTAAGATCCCATTTGATTATTCATTGTTTGGTTATATTTTCTATTCTTGTTATGAGATTGGTAACATGCTGTTCAATTTCTTTTAAACAGAAGTTTCAAAGTCCTGTTGTAATCCCTAGCAAATTCTAATTCATGAATTGTGATTTACAATCAATAATCAGTCAAGAATCTTTCAGTCAGAATCTTAGATGTTATGTTTCAAATCTTTAATCAAAAGCTCTACAAAAATGAAAACACACATTTTTTTCGTGTTTACTAATCGTTGGGGAATTAATGTTGAGGATCAAATTCTGACGTAATACATTTCAAACTTTCTAGTGTCATATTTTGAAATATATTATGGCAAAGATTAATTGTCTTATGTCTAACATGAACATATTGTTGCTTGCAAACTCGCTTATTAGTATGTTTTTTTCTACACTCAGAGTTCTACATGTACTCTTATGTTATATTTTAACTTTTCCAGGGCCAATACGTATCCTCGTCAAAATGTGGAAGCTACTGGTATGTTTAGCCTCCGTCTTTAACAACATTAAATGATTATCACTTTTCTGGTAAATATTTCCCAAATAAACTGTACATTTAATATATCCTACCACAAGGGTAAAAATCATAGAGTGTCCAGCTTCAAAATAAATTTCTTGAAATGACAACTGTGGTATAGTAAGGATACGTTTCACGTTTTCATTCCATGTTCCAGAAACAAATTGCAAAAGATAAGGAGCAAGGCTTTGCCTTGGCAACAAACGATTTCTTCCGACCTGACCTGAAGCAAATTGGAAACAGCATCTTCGAGATCAGGAGATACTTCGTTCCTGAGGGTAATTATGTTAATTACTAAGAGTAAAGTGTTTATTGATAGTTGTGGACATTGCACAGCAATTAATTGAATTTGATTTGATTTAAACATATTGACTTATGTATTGCCAATGTTATGGTTGAAAAGTTTCCCAATTAATCACGGGAGTCATTGGTAAACTATGAATCTCAGAACATTATTATTAAGACCAAAATCTTTCCTTAATCCTAAGAAATCATGCATTATACGATTTCAGGTGTCTTGTAAGCATGTGTTTATGAAACAGTGATGATGCCAAGTGTTCGCGAAACTGTCTCACCGATGGCACCTGTCACAAACACATGCAGAAACAAGTCAACTGTTCATCAGACACAGCAATGAACACTTATTCTTGGAGTTTGTTTCGTGTCAAAAGTTTGCTTTAGATGTTTAGTGACATGTAACTGGTACCTTTGTGTCAATACATTGATTCTTGTGTACAATTCAATCAACAGGTGCACAAAAGTGCACAATGTCTCACAGAGCATAATTTCCGACACAAAATTTGAAAGGTTTCCGTTTTAACTTTTTCTATTTGTTTTCAGAAGGTCGAACCATAAAACCCTTGAAACTTGGAACCACGTTGGCAAACGTGAAAGACTGCCTCTTAGAACTTGTAGAAAACCATGCGTTTGCCTTAGGTTTGGATCACAGAACTGATGAAGAAATAAAGAATACAAACTGCCCAAAAACTGAGCCATGTTTCATGTTCTTATCAGAAACTTTATCAGTTGCTCTGGATTTTACCACATCACCTCGTCCAAGTAATGCCGTGTGTGATGTGTTCATAGCCTTTCCCACTAAGCCAACTATGGTCCTGTCACTCGTTGATGGCGATGAAGACTCAAGGGAAGCGTTGGTGTACAATACGTCCGTGGCTAGAGGAGTGAGACATAAACTCATCAGATTCATGGATGAAGATGTGAACTCAATACATGGAGTGATCAATACGTCGACTCTCAAGGATAGTGTCGCATTCAACGCTCGCCTGGGGGTTTTGGCAAACGATTCGTTTCATTTTGTTCCAACGTATTCATTGCTAATGAATACGAGAAGATATGGTGCAGTCCTGACAGCGTTTTGGGCGGGTGTTGCTGAGACAAAGTCGGTGCTTAGAGATAATGGTGACGCAAATGATGACTGTATAAGATTCCTCACCAAAGAACAATGTATCATTCTGGTGGAGAACATCAACAGTAAGGATGTCCAGGTCCGGTGTGTACCAGGTAGCGGGGCAACGACTCTGATGCTGGAGGTGGCCAGGAGACTGAGCAGGCTGGGGGACACTCTACTGGTGTGTAGGTCACAGGAAGAGAGGGACAGACTCAGGTTTGTAGATATCATAGGAGCTAAATCAAAATACTCTCAACAAACTATGCATTGGAATATCTGAGAATGTGAACTGAGTTATTTATCTGTTTGTTTCTGTCAATGACTTAATCGATCATACTTCCAGGTCAGCGTATGCATCAGTGGTATCAGTGAACGATCTTAGCAAACTGGATCTGTCCTCATACGTGAACATTGTTGATGAAACAAACAGTATGACACCAGAAACAAGACGTCACCATTGGCAATTTGCAAGCCGTAAGTACATGTATCTTTAAATGTTCTTGTTGTCTGTTTGCCCCAAAACACGCCTGTGCTATATATTCCTGGCGTGATACATTAGATAGTGCTAGCATTTTATTAAATGTTATAACATATTTAATTATTACTAATTTTGTTGAATAAGCAAGATCATTCCTTTTAACTTCAGATCTAACTGATATCAAGCAGCTTAAGTACAGAAAGTGGATGGTAGAGACGGTAATGTATACTATAGTTTCATTATGAAAATGTACATATAACAGTGGAATGTACTCTATGTACCTCCATCAATTAAATACCTTTGATACTGTAAGTGTAAACGATTTGTTCTGAGTGGGCCAAGTCATTACTATTATGTAGTACATGGCACTGTAGACTTCTTAGATACATTTTTTCTCACACATTTAAGTTCCTATCAACGACATTAACTCCCAGACAACTTGTATCTCTGCAATTCCATTTCATAAACATGGTCGTTGCTCTATCACTGATGTTACTGTTACTGATGTTGACTGATGTCAAAAATATTTTAAATTTGATTTTACAGGAGACTGACAGAATCGAGAAACTAATGGATGTATTAACCAATGGTAACATTTTTTTAAGTAATCAAAATAACTCTGAAATAAAAAAAAGTCTATGATAAACGTAAAAAATTAGGTATGTGGAGTGATTGGTGATGATGACGATGATTAGTTGTGAGGAAAGCGATGTTCAGTCATTTTATCACATAATAAATATTCTTCATTAAACATGTTCAGATCAATTGAGACGAAGGATGAACTATCTCCTTGGAGAGTTTGACGTGCTGGTGTTGATGATGGAGAAGCTCAGACAACATGTTGCTGTAAGTAGATCCTATTGAAGTTAATAACGTTATTAAGAAAAACATATTTTTAAGTCACTTTATTACCCCACTGCAACAACAGAAAATGGAGCTAAAACTCTGCTATCGTTTGTCACATAGTTTGGGCACATACTTGGTGTATACATGTAAATACTGTAAATTATACAACTCAACAAGATTTGACTATGAATAAAATACAAACAATTTAAAATTATCTTCAGACTTCGGATCACTTATAAATTTTTTGGTATTTTCAGTTTCACCAAAATAAGGACTGTTTGGAGAACAAGCCACGTCAACATACAAGGGGCAATACTTTAACTGATGCGGGATGTGAGTATTGCCATGTTTTTATGGGATGACTTCAGCTTCCATTAGTCAACTTTTCTTTTAAGTAAGTCTTTCAAAACGTATTATGGCAAACAAATGGAGAACGTTTCCAAATTTGTCGCATCAGTGGCAAATATTATGTCCGATGCAATTCCTTATTTCGATTTGTACCATATGTTGACGTTCTTTCAAGAGAACAATTGACTTGCCTATGTAAGTGTTTGTGACGGTGTCACCGGTGGGGCAGAATACGCTCACCTTTAGGCGAACCTCTGGCATCATCACTATTAGATAGTGATTCATAAACATGTTAATTATATCGTTGGACTCGTACAGGCAACTCTGCGCTTATTAAGAGCTGCGCATTTCAAACGTTTTGTACCATGTATTATCTTGTTCTGGACACATAAAAGAATAAGTTAAATGGCAATGAGTTTAAAGCCAATATGATGTACAGTTATTTCACATTTACTTTACAGCCTTTTAGTATACTTTGATCGATGTGATTGTCGAATTTACATCAATTTGATTTTTCTCATGACTGTCTGCGTTGCTATTCTGGAAAACGTTTTATTAATTTAATGTCTATGAATAGTGTAAAGTTGTGTAGCTGCAAATATTATTAACCATCAACCATAAAGTTGATCAGATATTATCCACCATTGCAATTGGTAAAATTATTGATAATACACTTGAATAACTGACAATTTGTATTGTTTAGGTAATTGCTTTATTGTTTGTGGTTCTGTTACAATTACATATATGTATTATTTTCTTAAATATTTCCAGCATTTGTCGTTGGTAAACCACACCCGGTTGTACAAGAAGCAGAGCTGATTGCATGGCAAGAAAAAGTGGAACAAGAAAAGAGTGTTTTTCCTCTTTTACGATCCGTAAGAATCCAAGTCTATATTAGAATACAAACAGCAAATCATAATTAAGGCTAAACGTTCGTGAAGCATACATTAGGTTTAAATGGCATGCGGTATGTACAAATATTATTAATTAATGCGTCACTTTTAAGATGGTTTGTTTCTTTATCTCAGGTTATGGTAAAGGACAGAACCAATCTCATCTACCAAGGCGTTAAACTGGCTTACCTTGAGAAAGGTTAGTAGACATTATCATCATTTCCTAGAATTATGCAGATATAAAACCAAAAGACAGGAATACCAAATCTAAGGGACGCTACTCTGGTGTCTTAGATGACATTACCAAGTGTGACCAAGATTCTAAGTCATAAATTTGTGTTACTTATATGAGCACACTTTCTGGGATCAACAAACACAGGACGAAAAAGTGTTGATAAAAAGGTTGTATCTTCGTTGTATCTTCTTTGAAGGATTTATATATCCAAAATACAGCGCTTTGTAAAGATGACAAATGTCAAAATACATTCACAATAATACATCTCTGGATATATCTGTATATAAATAGTAAAGGGAGATAATTTGCATTAGTAATTTGGTTTTGGTATGAATGGAAGGGAACTTTCACATTAATGATTATTGGTTATGTGTACGAACACATATAAACAAATTGACCACGGACATTCATAAAAATATGTACACTTTTACAGCCTTCGCCATTCTGGAAATTTGTTTGTCGTGTATTATAAACATTAGAGAGTTAAATGCTTTTACAGCAGTGTAATAATTTGTCTGCCAATTCTTATAAATTATTACTGTATCAAGTTTATGTTGCTGCTGATTTGTTTGTTTTTTTGTTTTACGCCTCACTCAACAATATTCCAGCTATATGACGGCGGTCTGTAAATAATCGAGTCTGGACCAGACAATACAGTGGTTGACATCATGAACATTGATCCACGCAATTGGGATACGATGACATGCATCAAACACGTCAGTGATCCTGACCACCCGAGCCCGTTAGTCGCCTCTTACGACAAACATAGGTAGCATAGTAAGCAATTATGGGTTATTGAAAACCCATTATATCCCGGATCTTCACGGGTCGAGTATCAAATAACAAAACGAAAAGGAAACACATATATAAACAATATATGTGTATACAGAAATAAACACACTTGTATCTATGCACTATGTACAAATCCAGCAAGTGTCTTATTGTATATATGATCTATCCAAAGCTTGTACACCTTGTATTTTGTTTCGAAATCACAACTTTTCTTCCTGTGTATGTTCCATTTAACAATTTGTCGTTTTAATTTCAGCCTCCACAGAAGGAGAAGAAAAACTACAGGAATCGTCACAGAGTTCTGAATCTAAGTTCTGGAACCAACAGAACACAGCACGTGTATTTCCGGATACGCTAACCGATGCTAAACATAAACTGGAGCTACAGAACACAGATGGCGTAGATGCAGAGGGGCGTACGTACCTGTCATGACTGTGATTTCCCTACTTTCAGCCTAGTGACTGATAGACTAGGATAAACAAATAGGCAATATCTATTATCTAATGGAACTGTTCAAATTATGTTCGTATCTAACAAGGTATTCGTTTTAAGGTTCTAATGATGACACTGTGACGTTCTAATTTAATATCACAAGTAACCTACGGTATAGCAATGCTTTCAAGGAAATTATCTGTCATTCAATGTTAGTCTTCTTTTGTGTATCTAAACTAGAGAAGTACCTAGGCACCTTCTTTCAAATTAATTACGGATGTTTTAAAGATTTCTTTCACAAGGAAGGTGGAATATGAACAGTCATTGTTTAAGACAAGCGTACGTATTTATTGTTGTTTAAGATCCTGAGACGATCTATGTAACACGGCAGAATAAAAGAGATGTGTCTTCCTCAACGGTAGGTGCCATGATGTGTTTTGTCAAAAGACTGCAATATGGTTTTGATATTATCTCAGTGTTCTTCTTGATTGTCCGCTCAAAGTGCATGGTCTCGAGCTTGGTTTAGCAGTGATCTACTTGTCAGTTGCATTAGTTTAGGGAGGAAGATATTCAGTAACATTTTCTGCCGAATCAAACACCAGTACCACCGTGTTACGACAAGGGGCATACATTGGGTAACTTTTGGGAATTGCATCCGGCTTCCCAGCCTTTTAACGTGATACGTTGCACACATGATGTTGATCATGGAGAAACGATTCATTGCACACAGAGTTTACATAGTGGTACATTTCGACATGGACCGTGTTAAATAAACTCTTTTAAGATTGAAACTAGTTTCAGGAGCCCCTGGAGGATATCCACACTGAAGACAGGCTGGAACTCCAGGACACAGATGTTGGCGAAGCAGAGAGTCGTAAGTATCTATATCACCAACCCATAACAGCTAGTTTTGCTATCATTAACGAACAATTGAAATCAACATTCTATATTTCTCAAATGTAGTGTCGGTGTTAATTTCAGCATACGAAACATGATATATTCAGTCAGTCACGTGAACACATATTCAAGGTTGTATGTACTCCAGTAATGCATGTGTTTCCTCTTCAGGAATGCAAGAGATTGAATCTCTCAATGAAGAATTGGACAGTTTAAAATTGGTAACCATTTACATATTCATATACTCTTGAAGATTTGTACAGAAATATCGAAACAACTAAGAATATCAGGTCTTTGAAAGGCATTTAGAAGAGATACACATAAGGAAGAGATACACAATTAATGAGATAACAATAGGTGGAAAATAACAAAGGGTACAAACTAGAAAGGGTAGCATCCATATTACTTATCTATTGACTTAAGCACTAGCTTCAATACCATCAGCGCTATTACTGTGAAGTGTTGGCTTCCATTGTCCATTGCTAATCACTTGTCAGCGCCAATCATCTGTTGGTATCCCTTGTTAGTTTCCACCTTTTGTTATCTTCTTAATTGTGTTGTCCTTACTTGTACACATATTATGCTCTCTGCCTCATGGCATTCATTCACCTGATGAAGGAGTAAGCATATACTCCGACACGTTGTGTTCCGCATAATAAAGAAGTTGACATCCATATATTCTCTTCCTTAACTAAGAATATGCTTTGGTCGTTTATTCAGACTGCAAATATTTCTTACTGTTTTAAATCATATACAAGCTTAACATTATCTTCAACTGATAATTGTGGAAAGATTAATACTATAACATGATCGAAACAATGATGGTGGTGACTTTAATGCTACTTCCACTGCTACTGCCAGTTCCTTTGGTTTCAGAACAGAGATTACAAAACGATACAACTCGACAAACTACAAACTGAGGGTTGGACACACGGCAAGTGTAAACTGATTTATGCTTATATCTACTCACCGCCAAAAGGGACGTGAACCATAAAAACCTATAGAGATGTGTGTACGTTAAGAAGAGATGTTCCCTGTGTGTACCAATTAATGACATAACTAACAATAGTCAAGTGTTACCGCAGCGTGACTTTATTCATATCACAATATCTTGCATATGATTTCCCAACTTTACACCTAATCCTACACGAGACAAATGGTGCATCTCGAGCCATGGATCTTTAGCGTCACATGTGATGCCTTCATGAGCGTCGGTTCACACAACATAACAGTATGTTCGTTTGTGCATCGAACTAATCAGATATCTCTTGAATATGAGTAAGTCTCCATCTATTAACTAACAATATGGTATTCGCGTCTTTTGGCGGTGGGTATATCAAAGTGGTATTTCACAAAATGCGTCCGATCATAAGTGTTACTCTTACATGGGCATAGCTTAGAGACGAATGTCTGATAACATAACGAAATTTACGATTGCGATAATCACACAAGTTAGATGTATAATATTTTGTATCCTCCAGTTGAGTGGCAGAACGCTGTTGACTACTTGATGGGGTACCCGGATGTCCTATCCCTGTTTAATGTGGAGCTACCAGGTCTTGACGGTGTTAGCAGTTCCCATCAAGAAGACCAAGATGAAAGCACCTTGCCAAGAAGAATTAAACACAGGCAAAGGACAGTATTCACGAAAGACTCAAAGCGAAAGGTAACAGTTATAACAGTCTTTTAAGGCGCTTCAATCAGTTCATACACATGCTCACATGTATTGTTCAGTTTGTCTGTTGTTTTACGATGCAGTAAGAAATATGTCAACTATATCATGGTGCCCGTCATGGCCGGTTACGGTGACACAAAGTCAACTCACCTCATGGGTGATGTTAGAAAAATAACAAGCGTTGGTATCACAGACAATCATCAGTATTATCTAAATGTAATGTACATAATGTAGTTCAAAGTTGTTTTACAAGATATAGCTCTCTCGAAGGAGAACATGCTGCAATATAACTGAAATAAATACTGCTCAAAGGGGAGTTAGGCCATATTTAATCACTCATTATCATTAGTAACATCATAGAGATAGTGTTTAATTTTGTCATTAGATTAAAACTACACGATTCCAAGTGTAAACGCGTGACACAAAGACCAGAGAATGTACAGATATGAAAATGTGTACGGTGTGCTAGAAGCGTCTTTTGTGATAACAAAACCAACCCACATTATAATTACCCTTGTATTTGTTTCAATGTCGCCTACCTAATTACAGTTCCCCGACACAACATCAAAACTGGCTGGAGTGAAAGGGGAAGGTCAATACACTGTGAAAGGTATGAACTGATGATTGTCAAAGCATTGAAGAAGTTTCATAACTGACTTGATTTGTATTACAACTAAAACCAAGTTAAATGTGGCTTCAATTGGATGTGATTAACCTGTATTTACAAATTCTTAAAATGGAAACAGAGTAAATTTGCCAAAAGTATATACGCCCTATACATCATTGTATCACCACGCACTGTCAATAACAAGTTCTATGTTGTGTAATCTACAGATGGGTGTCACATTCCCTACATACCTACAGGCCTGATGCATCAGTTGAGGAGGTACCAGCTGGGCTCCCTAAAGGACAGAGATTTAACTACACTCACATTGAAGGTATAAATTGGGACGAAAGGGGACATGGTCGCATGCTTATGAAATGGTCGGAATTGTACACTCGATTCTGGTTTGGGCAGAGATTTCTTATTAATGTGGAAGGCTTTTGTTGCTTTTATTTCATGTAAAAGTACTGTCGGAAATAGAAAAAAATCATTTGTGGCTTTTAAATCTTCGTGTTAATTGTCTTGTTTACCAGTCATGGCAATAAATCATGGCAGTTTTTACTGCCTATTGTTTGAAAAGGATAGACAACGAAAAGGAGAAAATGCAGATTTAGATTCTGAAGTCCTTAGAAACTATATTAAAATGAGATATAACATTATGTAAATTAGATGTTAGAAAGATAAAATAACATTTATTTGGAATATTATTGAATAAATTAGACATTTTTCCAAATGCAGATTTAGTTTTGTGCCCATAACAGACAAACTGATTCATTATTACCATTACATCAACTGACCCATGAATCCTATTGTTTAGTACTTTAAACCTTCCATTCTTCATTGCTTATATTTGGATCGCCGGTGTCTTACGGACAGTCGTTTATTGGTCTGATTCAATACAGAATCAGAATCAGGTGATTCAGGACATGGTCAGGGCGGTTGGTGTTTGATGACGTTCAAACTTGAATGTTATGACACTTTGTGAAGTTTCTCACTGGCTCTGAACGTCTTGACGTCGTCTTCTTTATCTTCTAGGTGATGACAGACGACGAGGAGCAACTCGCGTATCTGACGGCAAAGAATGACTCCTTGGAAAAAGGTTTGTAGATGTATAAAGCTGTACATTCTAGGAGTGTTGAAAACCAAAATATACCTTGAATAATTCTTTCACATGAAAGTTTGAAACATATATTTACGTGTATGTCGTGTTGATTTGTTTTAATAGTATTATCGTCATACTCACACGCCATGATTAGGAATGGACTTTGGGAATCAAACTCAATTGTTCTCTGTCAGTAAAGAATGTGAAATCCAGTTGGCTATCCTATTGCTAATTGTTGAATAGCCAAAACAGTATGCAGTATCGTATAGTATCATACAGTATCATGCAGGGCCTCATTTAACACAAAAAGCTAAGCGCTTCTGCAACAGTCGTGGTGAGTCATGTAACTGTTCAAGAGGTAAATATACGGAGATATTAAACCCCGGATTGTCGCAATCGTGAAAACATGATTAATTTTAATATTTAACTGCAAGGCTCGCGTAACAAGTTGAAGATATGCTTATCGGTTACTTCTTTTTAGTTGCTGATGAATGCAAACTTTGACATTATGAAAACAGAAAATATATAAACAAGGTATAAATATATTTAACTTTTATCTTTCAGATTTTGGAAGCACTGTACATATTGTTGGACTGGAATGCAGGCCTGCACCAATCTCATGTAAGTATTTCCAGGACTGAGTGAGTGAGAGAGTGAGTGAGTGAGTGAGTGAGTGAGTGAGTGAGTGGAGGCTCTCGGGTTATCGTATTCAACAGCTAGATTAATGTTTATATGAATTACATGTATATGTTAAAAGTGTTTATGTCTGAGCTAGTGTTGAATCAAATCTGTCTCTCGATCCATCACTGTTGTGGTAACTGCGTTAGATCGTCAAGTGAGACCCAACTGCTGTTACCTAAACGTTTTGTTCCTTGTCATCATGGTCAGTTAAGCCATGACTTTGCAGCTCGCCTTGTCAGCATGGGGTTATCTCAGGAGTGATTGGTCGATCGACGCTTACTCCGAATTGTCACCCGACCGCCCCTACTCGCATAATAAAGAAACGCAACACCAGCTTTATACTCACTTTAGTTTTACATACTCTCACTCCATCTATCAATACGCGACAGGATCGGACCGGCCAGGCTCGTCACTGAGTGGGGAACTAAGAACGATCGGGATTCGACCTGATAGACTGCAAAACAGCGCTCCCTTTTCCTAACGGTGGCGGTATCATTTGAAAGCGTTCGGGCCTGACCTTTCTTTGTCACATGTCATCATGGACCATTTTAGTTGATTAAGAACAATATTTGACCATGAATCTACGAACCGATTAAAGATGTCTTTTGATTAACTGGCGACAACAACAACGAACCTATCCCGAAATACCCTGCAACTGTCATCGCCCTCTTGATTTCCTGCTTGTTTATGCCAACATGGCGGCTTTCTTTCTCCATCGTGTTAAAGCTGTTAGCATCAATTTAAAGGTTGACTTTGTAATATGTTTCTCAGGTTTTGGAGATGCATGTTTAGCTTATAACACTATTACTTGGCACCAGTCCAGCCTCGAACGGTCGTGTGGTGAAACTGGTGTTTCGCATTCTCACACTGAATGTGTAATATTGACACTAAAACCTATGAGGTGTCTCAGCCATTACAGCTGTTGTTGGTGTCCTGAAAGATACACCCCACTCCAGGCGGGGACCTTTCTACTTTAATCTAATGTGTAGTTACTGAAACGGACATTAAGTATTAGCCAACATATTTCCTAATGACATTGCCTGTTACAAGTATCTCAAGGGCGTGAAAGTTTATTTAAGAAATTTATTCTTGATTTTGATTTCCATCGGAGGAAGTTGGGTAAAGTATACAGAAGCAGTTTGAATGTTAGATAGATCCTGAGAACAAACGAGTAACTGTCGGTTTGTGAGAAGTAATCTTTCTGTTGATCTGTACAAGGCTCTTTTGTTGGATCCTGAAAGAGAATTTTGAGAACATACTGATGGGGCTAATTAGAAATATAGCCCTGAACAATATAGGGTTGTTTAACTACTTTAGCATAAATACCGTCATAGTATGCCTGTTATTTTCTAAGTCTGAAAGATCATACAAATGTATTTGAAAATATTTAATTTGTTAATTACACACAACCTATTCAGATCTCCATGGCACGTTTAAACAATACAACTACACCAAAAATGTGTTATATTTAACTTCCTTCTCGTATTGTTCGGGAATCACTGAATCTCTATACCAATTCTTTTGTAAGTACAATTATACAATCATGAATCTTATTCAGTATACACTGGAATAATCAGAAAGCTGACGTTGTTGACGACATCAATCACTGACCAGCGCTTGTAAACATTCCGCGACACACAGACTGTGACGGTGTAACGGTGAAAGTGACTGAAGCGGACATAGAATATACCTGTTCATGCGGTTTATGTTGAACACAAAAATGTAAAAAATGTCCTAAAACACGATACTTTTCGGTTTATTTTTATCATGCTTTGTGAAAGATTCATTGAGAATCCACACACAAACACTTTTGTTGGGAAATTCACTCACTGAGGTCGTATTTCATACACGAACATCGTCCACCCACAACACACGTCTGGCAGATATCTGCACAATGGGGGAAAATCAATAGTATATCAAAAATTCTTTTACATTGCCTATTTCTGTGAATTATTCTATTTGTTTCTTAATGAAATGCATTTGAATTCTCGTAGTAATAGTTTTACATTGTAATAATCGCGCAGTTGTGGGAGATATTCTGTACTGATGAAAAACAGAGACGAACATTCAGCGCGCTGTTTGGAAACAAGCAAACAATCAGCCAATATTTTCAGTAAATCTCTTTCTGTGTCTCAGTTTGTAACAAACAGTGAAATAAACTTGCTACACAACAAACACAATGTTTATTTTCAGGTCCTAAACGTCACCTGGACGCGGCTCGGGCCAACACAGTCTGGTGCCACGTAACTACAGACGGTGAGCTGGTCAACTCGCGGCCCGACACACGGGATGAGGGGTGGAACAGGCTACAGAAGTACATAGGGACCTGTAGCTCCCCCATCCCCCTTCCTCCACCCCCCTCCACCCTCAACCCCCACCCCCACCCCACCACACCAACATACTGGGAGACAAAGACCAGGGTGCGGGTGGTGGGGGGAGTGCCGTGGTATGGACTGGAGATGGGGGTTGTGGAGGCAGGCCAGGTGGACAGTGAGTACCGTGTTTCTCTACAGCGTCGCTCCTGGTGTGTCCGTGTAGAGATCTGTGGCAGACACGGGGGGAGTATCTGTACCACGGTGTGGCGGGAGAAGGTGCAGGGCGAGTGTCACCAGAACACCATGTCCCGCACTCCCGGCACAAAGGCCACCCTCCACTATGGCGTGGTGCTGGATGTGGGGAGGGGGAGAGTGGCCTTCATTGACTTGGACAGGGGGATTGTTCTTGTCAAGTATGATGAGGTGTTCCGGGAACCTCTTGTCCCCATGTTTAGTGCTGGGGTCCCGGCATCTGGCTACACTGTGTCGATGAGTCTGATCAGCGGGGAGGACGTCGACATGACGGACACCAAGAGGGCCCTCGTCTACCAAGCGCTGAGATAGGAAATAAACTGGTTATGTAAAGTTGTCCGTGTAACTGAGAGATTTCTATCAACTGTTTCAATGACAGGCGGGGAAAGTGAGTGAAGCGGACATAGAAGTGTTCAGTTTGTGTTCTGTTTGTTGTGTACAAAATACAACCAAGTTCTTCACATGTCTGGTTTCACTACTTTCCTGGTTTCTCCTGGAGTTGGAAATTATTTTTAATACTCACAGTAATATTGTTATGGTGAAGTTATTCATGTAGTTGCTGAAATTATGTCACAGCAACAATTTTCTGAAATGTGATGTGAAACAGAAGTGAGTACATGGGCAAAATGTAAAAATTCTTTCAAAACAAGATTTCTTCTGCTAATATTGATTTAATACTATAAAATAATTGTTTTAAATCCCCACATGACTATTGTTACGATGAAACTATTGCTGTAGTTGCTAAACTTATGTCACAGCAACAACTTTCTGAAATGTGATGTGAAACAGAAGTGAGTACACAGACAAAATGTAAAAATTCTTTCAAAACAAGATTTCTTCTGCTGAGATTGTTATAATACTGTAACATAATTGTTTTGAATCCACATATGAATACTGTTTGGATGAAATTGTAGCTGTAGTATCTGAAATTATGCCCCAGCAACTTTGGATGAAATGTGATGTGACACAGAAGTGAATGTACAGACACTTGTATTGATTTAATAAATGTATTGCTGTAGTTGCTGAAATTATGCCAAAGTAACGAAATGATGAAATGTGTTTTAAAACTGTATTTACAAAATCAAAACAAGATTTCGTTCATATATCAAGACTTCAGATAAAAGGTTTGAATCTACCGTTGTATAGTGTTTATAGATATTTCTGTTGTTGCAATAGCTATGCCACACTGGTAACTAGGTGATATTTGATCCAAAAAAAAAACGCTAGTGCATACAAAATCACAGATATGTTTTAAAGACAGATTTTACTTTTCAAGATGTAATAATGTACCGTAAATGTTTTAAATACACAAATATGATTACAATTTTGCTACTTGAACTCTTAATCTCCTGAATAAAACACTTTCAGTTTTGTGATTTTAACGGTTTTTAATTTCACACCATTAACCTTCTACATTAAGTTTCCATGTTTGTTGTTTAACGCCACTCACCAATATTCCACCTGTATGACAGCAGTCTGTAAATAATCAAGTCTTGACCAAATAATCCAGTGATTGACATCTGTATAACAGCAGTCTGTAAATAATCAACTCTGGACCAAATAATCCAGTGATTGACATCTGTATAACAGCAGTCTGTAAATAATCAAGTCTGGACCAAACAATCCAGTGATTGACATCTGTATAAGAGCAGTCTGTAAATAATCAAGTCTGGACCAAACAATCCAGTGATTGACATGATGAGCATCGATGTTCGCAATTGAGATATGATGACATGTAAAAACCAAATCAGCGACTTTGACCAACATCTCTTTAGTCCCCTCTTGCGATAAGCATGGGTAGCTGAAGACCAATTCTAACCCGTATCTTCACAGTGGGAGACAAGCATGGGTTGCTGAAGATCAATTCTAACCCGTATCTTCATAGGGGGAGACAAGCATGGGTTGCTGAAGACCAATTCTAACCCGTATCTTCACAGGGGGAGACAAGCATGGGTTGCTGAAGACCAATTCTAACCCAGTTCTTCACAGTGGGAGACAAGCATGGGTTGCTGAAGACCAATTCTAACCCGTATCTTCACAGGGGGAGACAAGCATGGGTTGCTGAAGACCAATTCTAACCCAGATCTTCCCAGGGGGAGACAAGTATTGGACTCAACCAAAAAACGTCCTGGAATCTATACTTTACTAAGAAAGTATTATCCCAAATAAAACATTTTTACAAATTTTGACCAATTTCTAGATGGTATTGTGTGTTAATACCTTCAGCCATGGGAGCTGTCCCAATTTACACTTGTCAGAGGGGTACACAAAGTACGTGATCTAGACTACCAGTTTTCGGACTTTCATTTTTTGTGAAGGCCTCAGAGGCTGAGTGGGTTAGATCGCTGACTTTGTGTGCTGGCAAATTAGGTG